GGCCGGCCGGGGCCCCCAGGGCCCTCAACTTCGGAGAGGCACCCTCTTTGCTTCCCAGAGGGTGGTGGCCACCGTTTTAGACCCTGGGTTGCAGCACCCCGCCCCTCCCCCACCAAGATGGCGCTGCAGCCGCCAAGGTCACGCTGGCTCGCCCTTGGGGGTACCGGTCTTCCCAGCTCCCTCCCCGCGGGCCTCCGGTCTCGCTCACACCTGGCTGGCCTGGCGGCCATGCTGCGACTCCCCCGGGGCATGGTCAGGGCAGGGGGACCGACGGAGCAGAGTCAGAGACGGCGATAGCGGCGGCGGTTCTGCCTCGGAGACTAACACAGTAGCGAGGCGCACAGCCGGTGCAGCGGGGCGGGGCCGAGGCGGGGACTCGTGGACACGCCCCTAGCGGGAGCGCGGCCGGAGGGCCACGCTGCTTTCCTGCGGGACCCCAGGACTCTCCCTTCCCGCATCCTCTGGTGTCGGTAACCGTGCTCCCTCACGGCGCCCTCCCGGTGCCCTCCCGGTGCCCTCCTGGCTCCTGGCTGTGTGCGCCCTGGAGACACTGGCTGGTGTCGCAGGGCCCGAAGGACGTACGCAGGGACGACAGGCATGGTCCTTCAAAGACCACCGTGGAGCGCAGCGAGCTGAGCTGGGGGCTGTCCCTATCGGACAGCGCTTGCTGGCTACGGTGTGGCATCAGGGTCGCGGGTGAACTGGGTCGGGATAGAAGCACCCACCCCTCACTTGGCCAGAGGAAGGCACGCACGACTGTCCCCAGAACCCCCGTCAGGGGGCGTCCGGACGGGTCTTGGACTCCTTCCCGGCAAAAACGCGACCCGCGCCCTAGGCAGCCCCGGCAGAGATGAGATGAGCCCCCCCGCGTGGCTCTCCACCCAGCCCGAACCCCTGTCCCACGGATGCAGCGCCAGACCCTGATAGGGTTTGCGCAGCATGTCCCTCCCAAAGGCGGTGACCTGAGTGCACAGCGGCATCTGTGCAGATTGGAATCCTGTGGCTTCGAATTTTACCACCTGGTTCCAGGCCCTGGGCAGGGCGGAGGCTGGATTTAGGACGCTTCCCAGCCCTTAGGTATTCGAGGTTTTCATGGTCTTTCCTGAGGGACTTCTCAGTGGTCATATCATTACCTTTGGAGGGGAGGAGCCTGATTTCTTTACCAACACCGCTATCGCTGTCCCTTGTGCCCGTGGGAGGCCTCCTGGCCTCGGGATTGTGGGAAGGATGAAATAGCCCAGAGCAAAAGGATGGGGGTGGCTCCCAGGTGGGGAAATAAGCCCCTCTGTGAGGAGCGGAGTGAAAGAGAAGGTGGGGAGAGGGGCAACGGCAGTGACTGGCAGGCTCGGTTATGTCTCTACTGTGTCCCTAACACACAGTACTCACAGCCAGCCTGCGAAGCAGTGCCCTTCCTCCCCTGACTCCCATCTAGGCTGGGCCTCAGTTTTCTCCTCTCTGAAGTGGGGGTGACCACCCACCCTGAGGTGATGGGAGCGTGTGAAGGGTGGGTCACTCTCTCCTCACACACATGGGGGGGCTGGTCCAACTTTTGCCCATGCAGTCCCTGCCCACCTGTTCCTGTTTGCCAAACTGGCCCATCCTAGGTGCATCAGGGTCCTCCTCCTACAGGAAGCCCTCTGTGGCCAGCCTACCTTGCTGTAACCATGGCTCTGCACTGCGGCCTACAGCGTGGGTAGTTGTTACTTGAGCTCCCAGGACTGGTGGACCACTGTGGTTCCCCAAAGCACGACCATGAGCCTCCGGAAGGCACTCAAGACCACTTAAGGTAGTGACACAAGTGAATGTTTTTACTTCATGCATTTTCATGCGCATTAGAAAAAATGTAAATGAGCTAATCAGATCCATGATTTCTTGACGAATATTGCTAAAATGGGGCTGAAGGAGGTATTTTAATTTTTCTGAGGGGGAGATGATTAGGTTTCTTCATTGATTTCCTCTTGGAGGAAGTAAGAGGGATTCAACCTGAGACCTCGTGGGTGCTGAGCATGCGCTCTACCACTTGAGCTGTACCCTTCCCAGGGTATTTCAATTTTTAAGTGAGTCACTTTAAAGAAAGATTGCTAACAGCCCAGGTACTAAAAATCACTGCTGTCTTCCCTTTCCTCGCCTCTAGGCGTCTCTGTGGAGCCTCCTTGGAGAGTCTGTGAAGGCTCCCTGGACTGGGACCCGGAGGCAGGGTTGAGTCAGCCTGATGGTCCTTTCTTCTTAGGCCCAGACTGGGTGTCCACAGCCTCACCCTGCAGAAGCTCGGAATCCTGTCCACCCGGACGGGAGCCACTGTCTCTGATCTGGCTCTGCAGTGTTGCCTGTGATGGGGTGGAGCCAGGTGGTGGGGCTCCCCTCAGTCATCACCAGGAGTATATGAGCCCAGAGGATCCCTTCCAGCATGTGGTCAGGTCCCCCTCCTGTTTTCACTGACCGAGGGACAGCCTGACCCCCAGTACCCGACTCAGGCACTGCTCCCCATGGCCTTCTGACTGAACCCTCCCTCCAGCTGACCAAGGAGAGGGCCTCCTGTCCCCTCCACCTGCCTGCTGGTTTGGAAAAGCCTGATCTGGGCCTTCCCTCTTGGGAGGGGTCTCAGTTTCTTATCTATAAACTGTGTATTGTTTTGTTCCAAGCTGGGGGGCTGGCCAGGCCTTCATAGGCCTCAGTTTCCCCTTTCCTGAGACACATTTTAATATCCCTTTCCCCACAGGCTGTGATCACAGGGATCTGAGGCTCTGAGGAGTGGGGGAACTAGCCTATGGCTGCCGCCACCTGCCACAGGCTAACAGGTCAGAGGTCAGGTCACCAAGGAGACCAGCTAGGGATGCATCTCCCAAAGTTAGGGGTGGATGAGGGGAGGAGTGAAACCCGACTCCTCTCAGACTCCCCATCGCACAGGGGAAACTGAGGCCCAGAGCAGCACGAGCTGG